CTCTCTCTCTCTCTCTCTGTCTCTGTCTCTCTCTCTCAAAAATATTTTTTAAAAAGGATATACAAGGAGCTGGTAAGGAGCAACACAAGGAGTTGCTTCTGGGGAGGGAAACTGAGACACAGGGTGGACAGGAGGCCTACTCTTCACAGTGTCTCCTTTTGTATGTTTGAATATATTGGTATGCCTTTGTTACATATTCAGCAAAAAAAGGTAGCTTGTCTAAATCACAATCACTGTGCTGTGTGGAGAGAGCACATTGAGAGATGGTGGTGGCTTGACCATGAAGTTGGTAATAGGGATGGAGAGAAGTGGGTGGATTCAAGATCTACTTTAGAGGCAGGGCCAGCTGGACTCTGTGTATTCCACACTGACTTTCCCTGCTCCCACTTGTTCAGGAAAGCTTTGTGCATTGAGATTGGAACTGGGCTTCCCTGACTCTCCTCTGACTTCTGTGACATCTTTGTGGAAGGAAGGGCTCTTCGGCTCCTTCTAGGTGCTAAGAGCTTCAGAACTCTAGAGACTATCTAACACATCACAATATGGAGGACATCATTACAGACACATGCCCTTTTCACATCCTCATCCAACTTGTAGATGATTTTTTTTAAGTAATCTCTAGGCCCAACATAGGGCTTGAACTCTCGATCCTGAGATCAAAAATCGGATGCTCTACCAACTGAGCCAGCCAGGTGCCCCTAGATGATCTTTAATGACAATCAAAACACAGTTACACTGAAGAAGTACTATCATTTCTCAATGGAGCTTGCTTTCTTTGCAGAGAGATGCCAAAGGCCAGTACCTGTTTGACCTTCTTTGCCACCACCTGAACCTTCTTGAGAAAGACTATTTTGGGATCCGCTTTGTGGACCCAGATAAGCAGCGGGTAAGTCAATATTCAAAGCACAAATGGAGGAGAGGATTTGTCAGTAGGCTGAGTCCTTGAACTGCCACTCATACTCATGATTTTAGCCTCAAGAGTCAGGGACCAACCGGGCCCTGCAGTTGGGTGTCATCTCTTCAGATCACCGTATTAGATATGGAAGCTCACCTAGTGTGGCCCGTTGTTTCACAGATGCTGAAATGGCAGCCCAGAGGGTTGAAGTGATTTGCCCAGTTGTCCAGTTGGAGGCAGAGCAGCTGGGCTGGGTCATGATCTTGGAGCATAGGTCACAGGCTGAGCCTCTCCTGCCTGCTTTCTAGTAAACGAGCTGAACCACCCTGTTCCAGTTAGGAAGGGTCTCACCTAAGGTGCCACGCCAATCTAGTGGGGGCAGAACAGAAAGATAACTGAACTGACATGGGCCTTCCAACGCCTTGCAAACTCATTCTGATGCACACAACATATATGGCTCTATAGACACAGGGCACATTCCAGACAGATAGGAAAGTAAGTCCATTACCCCCAGGCCCCAGCCTCCCTCTCCAGCTTCACCTCCCCTGACCTGTTTCCTCCAACACCATCCTCTCTTTATAGAGCCTTCACCTGTACAGTCCCCCTGCCTGGAACTTTTCTTCTCCCTGGCCCCACGTCTCCATACTCCATGCTTTTCTTCTGGCTAATTCCTCACATGTAGTGTCCCAGCTTAGACTCTCACTTCTTCTTCACTTCCTCACTTCTTCCCCACTTCTTTCAGGGATTCTTCCCTAATCAACACTCCGAACGAGGGGCCGTTCCTGTGTGCCCCCATGTGCCCTGTACTACTCCTGTTGTAGCATTTACACCATGCTGTGGCTGCCTGTTTGAAAACCTGTGTTCCCTGCAAAAATGTAAATCCCATGAGTGTGTGGGCTTGCTCTCATCATCACTATATCCCATAGAACTAGCAGAGGGCCTAGAATGTAGTGGATATTCAGTAAATATTTGCCGAAGGAATGATGAGTGTGTGGGTTAATGGTTTATAATGACAAAATTTTCCCCTCCACTCGCCCAGATGTTCCACTAGCAGAAACTTGCAGCTCCTCTAACTTCTCTTCATCAGCCCTTTCATTTCTGTGGGCATATAGTCTCCGGCACCCCCTCGAAGTGGGGAAGTATACAGAAGCATCACCCTTTGCTATACCCCTGCCCACCCCCTACTCTGGTCTGCCATCCTCCAAAGACATTATCAACACGAATCCCAGAGGCCCCCCCCCTTTTCACGAGTCCATTGATTTTCTTCACAGTTCCAAACATGGGCTCCATCTCTGTTGTCACGGGGGCCTTGGAACCCCAGAAGACACAAGCCCCCCAGCAGTACCCAGGACCTCAGATAACGAATGAATGGATCCGCCCCTCCTCATGCCAGAGTCAAGTGCTGTTTTGTTCTTTGATGCTCTGAGCCATTGTGTCTCCAGGTCACATTTAGAATTTTATACTGGACACATTAGCCTAAGGAAAGAATCCAAAGGACTGTATTCCTTTCCTTCAACAAGTCCTGCCCTCTTGACTGACATATTTTGGTCCTCCTGGCTCTGCAGAATTTTGAGCAGTGTCAAGGTCAGCCCCTCTCCATATAAAGGCTCTACTGTCTTGACCTAAATACTGTCCTTAGCTCTGGGCCATAGTATAAGACCCCAAAAGTGCCATGACACCAGGATGCTACATGTCCTCACATGCTGTACGTGTCCATTCACTATATAATAATGGGCTGTTTTTACAAGGGGTTTTCTTGTTGTTGTTTTGTTTTTGTTCTTGTTTTTGTTTTTTGGTCTGAGCTGTTTCTCCTTAAGAAGGAAAGCCGGTTACCCCAAGTTCTCTTTGTCTCCCAAAGAGAGCAGCTTATGAAGAAAAGAGGACAAAGTGTACCATGCTCATTATTTTCTAGTTAGGTCAGAATGTACTTGAGACATAGAAGAGAGTATATGGAGGTAAATAAAGATCAAAAGCAGGAGGAGACAGAAATATGAAGAAATGGGGGAGAGGAGAAATTAACATGTATGGAGTGGCAACTGTGTGCAGGGCTCTGCACTAGGTCTTTCAGCCGATGTTACTGGGCACCGAGTTGTATCAGGCACTGAGCTAAGAGCTTCACATATGTTCTTTAATCCTTAACACAGATGAGATGAGTATCCACAATTCAGATATCCATTCTCTGAATGAGTAAATAAAATCTCAGGTTAAGTAACTTGCCCAAAGCAGATGGCAATGCCAGTCTCCATCTCAGAGCTGGCTGATGCCAGAGTCTGTGTGGTTTCTAAGGCTCCATGCTGAATTCATCATACCTGATAGTTTCTGAAGTTGTGTGATGGCTCAGGGGTTAAGGCTTGAGAGAGTGCTTGAGAGCTGTGGGAAAATTATCATTCTAGATCTACTGACTCATGGTAGAGACAGAGCAGGTAAGCTCCCCGCTCTCTTAGGGTGTGAGGTCCTAAAATAAACCTCCTACCCTGGGGTAGCAGAACCCAAGCTCACATTCACCCCATCACTGCTTGCTCTGCACGGGTCCCCATGGGGGTCTGGGGATTCTCCTGGTCCCCCCTGGAGATGCCCTCACTCCCCCTTTCCCCTATTCCTGGCTCAGGCCCAGGGCCCCAGCCTGCTTTCAGCCTCTCCTTTCAAGGTGGAGGCACCCTTTCAAGCCTCCAGAGCCTGCAGATTGTGCCACACTGTCCCAATGACCCAAATACAGACGGAAACTCCCCTCTGAACTTTCTTTTCTCTTCTCCTGACCCTTGCTCCCAGCCTCATGTTATCTATCAGTTTGCCAGTAATTCTGGGACCCAGATTTAGCCAGACTGCTACAAAAGGTAACTGTAACCATCACCATATTTTTGGAATCCTGGTTTTTCTGATTTCTCTATCAGACTGTCAAAAGCTCTTGGACAAGCTGTGAGGGCTTTCCCCTCCCTTCCCACCCCTCTCCCGTCTCCTCCAGCCTCTCCTTTCTGGAGCCCTCACTGCAGTGCAGACCGAAGTCCTCCTCAGCTCTTGCCAAGAGGAATAGACTTTTTGTTATTCAGCTCCACCTGCCTTCTGCTGAGAGTGCATCTCATAGCCTTTCCTTGTAGTTTCTGTCTTCCTTTGTTTCTTTATTTTAATCTATCAGTCAGGTGCCTGGGGGCATTCTGTTTACTGAGCCCCAGACACTTGCTGTGTTCTTCTTGCCGTACACAATTCTGATGTGCTCCGGTCAGACGGGCCTCCTCTGCCTTCATAGGCTCAGCCTGGAACCCCAGTTGTTTCCATGCAATTTCATCTCTTGCCTTTGCTTCCCTGTGAAGCCGAGCCGCGGTGGGCCTTGTAATGTGAGAAGGACCTCTTAACCACATTGAGTGGCTATAATGAGTTGCCAGCCTCGTGGGAACTCAGATCAGAGGAAGCAAGAGAGCAGAATGTCAGCCCAGATTATCCATGTGGAGCTGACGGAAGAACTGGCTCTTAGTGGGTCCATTAACTGCATGACCCACAGCCCAGCCCAGAAGGTGAGAGCTGGGAATCGCAGGAGGCCAGGATGCTGTCTGCATGGCCCTGGCTGCTTTCCTGCCAGAGGGAGGACTCTGCCAAGATGTTACACTAAATGGAAGTAGCCAGAAGAGAGGAAGATGTGGACGGGCTTCCATCGTCTGTTTGACGGCTATCCAGTGAACACTAGCCTAGGCATCGGTGGATGACATAGTTTTCTGCCTTCCCAGAGCTTAAGGCTAGTGGTTTTAGTCTACTTCCAGATAATCAAATCCCACTTAACAGCAGTCATAGCTCTCTGCAAACTGTCAAGTTTCCTGATTAGCATAAAAGCAACGAGCATCCATAATGCATTGTGTGAAGCATCTATGTAGAACTGGGAAATAGATACAGAATGGTCTCACTGCTTCCTTCCTGCAAACGTAAGTTCCATGGGAAAAAATGTATTTCTACTATATCCTTCCTCTATGAAAATCCAAGGGAAACACAGTACTATCCTACACATTGGTTGTGGTTAGTTATCTTATGAGACTGAGACTTTAAACATCCCTGGATGCCAAGGAATCCTGAGTATGTACGCTGTAACACAAGGGCTGGCAAGATGTTGCTCAAACAAAGATGGAGTATACACCAGCCATCCCTGCCTTCTCACCATGTATGAAATTCCACCTGTTAATACTTTCTAGAGCCATGACCAGTAGCCTCTGTCCCTACTGCCCACCCACCTCTGCCAAAAAATAGCTGGCACACAATATAAACACACACAACCCACTGAAGTCAGCATTTCCCTGTCCAAGCCAGGTGGGGTTTTGTCCCCGTTACACGTACGTGCATTCACTTGTGCCTACTGCTGTGCCAGAAATATGGCTCAGAGTTTTGGCACCCTGCTTTGGAAGGCAGCATTGCTGGGGAGGCCCAGAAATGGCATCTGAAGCTGGAACTCTTCCCCCTTCACAGCTGCTTCCATGGGGAACTTACTTCAGAAAACCCTATCACTCTCTACTCTCCAAGCCTACATGTCACAAGCTTTTGTGCTGCTTTCAGCCTGGGCTACAATCCGTCCAGTCACTGAAATTGGGTAAAACAAGTTATAGTTGACACTGCTTCTCTCATTAGTGTTTTCTTCTTCTGTGTTCTCTGTTTCAGCATTGGTTGGAGTTCACAAAGTCTGTGGTGAAGCAGTTGAGATGTAAGTATTCATGAGAAGATGGGAAGCCTCACCCCTGAGGAGGGTGGGACAAAACCTCCCCCTGATAGTAAGTCTTGGTGACTATCCACTGTTCTGACTGTGAGCTGGCCCTAAATATGTGAAGATCCTCTTAGGATGGTTCAGAAGGCTGTGCGTCCCTGTGGGGAGGGAAGTCCAGTCGTCCTCTGGGGAGGGTGTTTCCTAATGGGCACATCTTTGTCTCTGCAGCGCAGCCTCCGTTCACCATGTGTTTCCGGGTGAAGTTTTACCCTGCAGATCCTGCTGCGCTGAAAGAAGAAATAACCAGGTAAGGCTGAACTTCCCTCAGCCACTCAGACCTGTTGGGGAGGATAGGAAAGAGGCACTGAAACCTCTTAGATCCTCTATTTTGGAAGCTTCTAACTCTTATGAACAAGGAATCTTCCTAAATATAACCTTACCTCTTCTGTATTTCATTTCCACATGCTTTCTTTACTCACCCCCCTCAGTAGAACTGGAATGGAGTGAGCTTCTTTTCTTCAACAAGTGTGTATACTTCATTTTAAACTAGTCATCTACAGGGGCGCCTGGGTGGCTCAATCAGTTAAGTATCTGACTCTTGATATCAGCTCGCGTCATGATCTCACAGTTCATGGGATCGAGCCTCGCATCAGGCTCCGCACTGACAGCACAGAGACTTCTTGGGATTCTCTCTCTCCCTCTTTCTCTCTGCCCTTCCCCTGCTTGCTTGCTCTCTCTCTCTCTCTCTCTCTCAAAATAAATAAAAATAAACTTAAAAAAAAAAGAAACTAGTCATCAACAAAGGGATCTGGAGTAACTATTTAATCAAAAGCATTTTTTTTTTCTTTTACCAAGGATGTGGCCCCCATGGATGTTTTTCAAGAGGGCAGGTTGCTTTTTTAGGGGATTGAAATAGACTCCACTGGCCTAATGTACTTGAGAAATGCCGAAGTAGGACACTGAAAAATAAGCTGGGAAATACTGAAGATTTTAAATCCAAGTGGATAAACCCCCAGTGTGCTAATGGATCAGGTCCGTGATAAACTCTTCATTGTGGGGATCATGCTCTGTGGCAGGCAGACAGCTGCATGGAATGAATCCTATCTCATCCAGCACCACTCGAGGATGAGAAAGAACTTTTGTGCCCACATTATCCTACAAGAGGGTCAATGAATAGGAGCTTCAAATCTTCACCAGGGTTTTGTGTATATGAGCCACATTCTCTCTGAAAGTCTTACATCCAAGATCCAGGAATGCTCTGTAACGAGGATCCTTAACTTTTATATGAGAAATATCTAATTTTGACATTAGCAAAATGTTGATGTTACCTTGTAGAGATTGGGGCCTGAAGTCAAGAGGTGATGCCAGGGAATCCTAGAACTGAGGAGACAGCTCTGCCAACTCTCCCCGCAATTCCCCATACCTTGGACACCACAGAAATTTGGATGAGGCTGTTGCCAGTTATATAGACTCTGTCCTATAAGGCCTTGCGATCTACTTCCAGATCCTGAACTGCTTGGAGGAATTCCGAAGAAAGGAAAGAGAAGGGAAGAAGGGAGGAAGAAAGAATATGGACCTATGTTCACTTCCTGTTCCGAAGAGCGTGTCCCTAGTTTTATACCAGATAAAAGGAGCTGAAGTTTCTCTGAGAAGGAAAACGAGGAAAGGGGGAGAGAAGAGGGCAAGAAAACAGGACTAAGTAATACAAAGGAAGCAAAGAAGTAGGTCAGAGAGGAAAAGTGGCTTCTTCACATGGGCCCCAGTGGAGGGTGGGGGGAGTCTTGCAGTGGAGTTGGAAGCATGAGGAATGTTGTTTGCTTTGGATGTTTGGGGCAGTGCGTACGCACCAACTTTGAAGCACTGGGGCCAGTGAAATGTGTAGTTAGAACCAAACCTCATGCTCCTCACTGGGCACAGAAACTGCAGGTTTGGGGCACCTGGGTGTCTCGGTCAGTTAAGCGTCTGACCTTTGATTTTGGCTCAGGTCATGATCTCATGGTTTGTGAGATCAAGCCCCACATTGGGCTCCGTGCTGAGCATGGAGCCTGCTTGAGATACTCTCTCTTTCCCTCTGCCCCTCTCCCCCACTTACACTCTCTCTCTAAAATAAATTTGAAAGAAAAGAAAAGAAGAGGAAAGAAGGGAGGTAGGAGGGAGAGATGGAAGGAAGGGAAGGAAGGAAGGAAGAGGGAGGAAGAAAAAAAGGAAGGAGGGAAGGAACAAACGAACTGCAAGTTCTGATTGTCCATGTGGAAGTGGACGTGGCTCTACTTTGCTTCTGAAAACCAAGCTCATCCACATGACAGGAGAAATCTTGTAGTTTTAGGCAAGAGAGTAAGGGTAGAACCCCTATGAATGACAACTTAAACAGAGAGGACTTTTGGCAAAGCACTAGCCTGCCCTGCTCAGGACCCCCAGAGGATTAACCTCACTCTGAGCCTGTCCCAGCCCCTCCCCACTCCCCCTGCTCCCTGCTTTCCTGCCAAAAGAGGTGATGGTGCCAGGGCCGACCCAGAAGTCCACACTCCCGTCCACGTGTCTGGACAAATTTAACACACCTTTCTTGAGAACCCAGCACCTTGCCTGCTAACAACACCACACATCAGGATCGTCTGGTTTCCACCTCACTAGACCAACAGGGGGGATGACAGGGATTATTCTAACAACTCAGTGAGCTGCCAGTAAGAACACAGCAGACACATGGCTTTCTGATTTGATTAAAGGGCAAAACCACATGGTTATCTTGGCCCTTAGGAGGAGCTCTTAACACAATTTTCTAAGTCAAATGTTATTACATAATACTAATGTACAGACTCTCCTGCCCAAGAAGAAGCATAGACCTGGAAGCTCAGATCCTATTTCTGTCACTTCTTGGCTCTGTGGCCTTGGACATAAGATATTTAATCTGTCTGACCTTCAGACCCCTTATTTATAAAATGAGAAGAGTAACATCTACCACCTAGAATTGTTGGGAGAACTGACCACTACACTGGGATCTTGCACTTAGTAATACACCACCCCACCCCCGCCCCCGCCAGCAAGGCTTGCACTGAGCAGAGACTGCCAGATTGATTACATGGTCCATGCACACCAAGGGCTCTGCATGGGACACGAGTACAATTAGTTCTGGCTTTTCTCCTTTGTTGATGTGAAAAAGGTACTTTTCTGATAATCCCTACTCCTCCTCTGTCCTTTTCCCCCACCAGCTAGAATCCTAACACTTAAGGAGCTAACTTTTGAGGATTCAGAGAGAAAGCCATCCCTGGTAATCAGTCATCCAAGTCCTCATGGTACAGCATGGGGACCAAGTCCAGGCCTCTCTCCAAGTCAGCCGACTTCAAAGGCACTGAAGCTCCCCTGCTTACGCATACATCTGTGCTGAGCATCCTTGACTGTTTTCCCCATGCTCTCCACCTCACCAACCTTCCTTCCCTAGAATACATCTTTCAAGCATTGTTGGGGGTGTGAACCCCAGAATGCCTGGGCCTGATTTAGAGTCTTTGTGCCTCCCCTTCCCCAAGGCATCCTGTGGAGGCCTTGGAATTAGCTGCATCTTTCTCCTCATTCATGTCTCTGCTGATCTGGAGAAAGTGGGTACCTGCCCCAGCCTCACTAATTACCCATAATTCATCCCTGGCTTAAAGTCCTCCATGCCACCTTTCTGCCAAGCCAATTTAGCTGTCAGTGTGTTTTTTCCTAGCGATATTGGTCCTAAATTTCAATGCCATCTCAGCTATTCCCATAAAGGCAGACTGAGAGGAGGGGATGAAATAGGAAGTAAAGAACTGTGCTTCAATTTATCTCTTGGACTCTTCCCAGATGATAAATTTAGTTGCCAAATCCTGATTAATCTCTTTTGTCATTTTGTAAAGTAATAAATAGATTTTCTTGTCTGAGCTAGAGACAAGGCAGAGAAAATGGGGATTAGGCACCAGATTTAGCGTTTAACAGGGACCGCAGGTGTATGAACTCTGGAAAGATCAAATAATAGAAAGAAACTGAGTGCAAATGGGGCCCCACCCTCTAAGGAAACAAAGCTGCCTGACATGTGTTTGAGCAGGTGCTCAAAAAAAAAAAAAAAATGTTAATGGAATGAATGAATCTCTTCATGAATGGAGTTTATAGGTCATTTATTCCTTCAATGAATATCACTTGAGCCTAGCTTAGGCTAAGATGGACTGGCAAGCTTTTTCTATAAATAGTAAGTATTTTAGACATTGTGTACCATATGGTCTCTGTCATAACTGCTCGGTTCTGTCTTTGCAGTGTGAACACAGCCAGAGACGATACCTAAATGAATGAGTATGGCTGCGTTCCAATAAATTTTTTTTTTTGTTTTTTAAAGTTTATTTATTTTTTGAGGGGGGGAGGGACAGAGAGAAGGGGACAGAGGATCTGAAGCAGGCTCCATGCTGACAGTAGAGAGCCCTGTGCGGGACTCACACTCATGACCTGAGCTAAAGTCAGATGCTTAACCAACTGAGTCATCCAGGTGCCCCTAAAATTTTGCCTTATTTCATTGGAAACTCTGGTGGCAGGCCATAGTTTGCTGACCCCAGACCAAGGAATCAAAAAGAACTGGGTATAAATTCTAGGTTGTTCTTTAACTAGCTGTGTGACCAAGCAAGCAACAGTCTCTGCATTCAGTCAGTTTCTTCATCTATGAAGCACAATAAAAACAGTAGTCACCTCAGAGTCACTGTGAGGACTGCATGAGACAGTACGTGTTCAACAGTACAGTGTGGTGGTGCCTGGCTGGCTCAGTTGGTAGAATGTATGACTCCTGATCTCAGGGTTGTAAGTTTGAGGCCCATGTTGGACGTGGAGCCTAGTTAGGACAACAAAATAAAATGAAACAAAAAAACACAGTACAATGTGTGGCTCACAACATGCACTCAGTAAATCATTATTGTTTTGTTATTGTTTTGTATCTGTCTCTCCCCACTGGAATGTAAACTCCATTAAGAGTAGGGACTCAGTTTTGTTTCCTTCTGTATTCCCAGAACCCATGACAGTGCCTGGCACAGTAAGTGCTCAGAACTGGATGGAGGGATGGAGGGATGGATGGTGGCTGGGAGGGAGGGCAATTAGGTGAGCTAAGTAAAGGATGTACAAGCTCTCTAGAAGAATATTAAAAGTGAATTAAAAAATCATCTCTGACTCCAAGGAGCTTGCAGGCTAGTAGGGGGGAAGAAAACATTCTAAACACGATGAAAGAAAAGGGGTGGTAGAAAATAGAGGAGGCCAGGGAAAGAGTCTGATAAAGGAAAGTTGAGTCCAAAGGAAAAAAATCTTGGGAGAAACTCTTCAGGAGACACCACTGCTTTCCTGAAGTCAGAACTTTTAATTCTGGAACTATCTGTGGATTCGTCTCTACACTTTGATATCAGAAAGCACAGTGCCACAGCCAATACCTTGGAGAGATGTACATGTCACAGAAAGATAATTTTCCTTGGCTGTCTTTTAGGTTTTCACTTGCTCTGCCATCAGACGGTCCCAATTCACACCTCCCTCAATTTAGGACAATGTTGACATTAAAACAAAAATGGAGGTGAGGCCAGGAAGAGATAAGTAAAGTTTACCCAAAAACGTGTCCTAAGGAACAGGCTTGCCTTAAATCTGGTCTAAAGCTGATTTCTTGTTCGGTTCCGATGAGAATTTCTCCCTGATGACACAGTTCTCTTGCCTGTATTCAGGACCCCTTTCTTGCTAACTGACAACTAACTGAATTACCACGGGGGTAGGAAAAGCATCAGGCCTTGAGTCAGGAGATCTTCCTTGACTCTGATCACTATGTCACCTCAGAAAAGTCACTCTATATGTATAGCCTCTGTTTCCTCGCCTATGAGAGAATTAGGCTCTACAGCTCCTATTCTGAGGTTCTAAGATTGGGTAACCAAGCCAGCCTGTTCATCAGGAGCTGGGAACGCTACGTGGCCCTGGCAGGCCGATCTCCTGGCTGGAAACAAAGTGGCCCTAGTGGCGGTATCTCAGGCAACAAGAGAGACTTCCTTAGGCCCATGCATGGCAGGGGAGAATGTGCCAGGTTCTCTTGAGAATAGGTCTAAGAATGCTGTGGGTCACATGGGATATATTTTCATGTCCAGCAACAGTGAGTCATTGGTTACCTCCTTCAGTGAATAAAACATGAAGCTTGATGAAAGCCACTGTAGCAGAAAAGGGAGGGGGGACCCCTAATACAACTCTGTACCCTGAAGCTGTTGGCCGATTCTTTCTTGGACTTAGTGACTTGCTAACAAACAGAATAAAGCAGAAGTGACAGTGTCTGAGACGAGGTCATAAAGAAGTGAATCCTCCTGTCAGGCCTATAGATGTTGGTCTTGAGTTCATTTCTTCTTGTCATCTAAAGAATGTGCTTTGGTTTTTTTTAGGATGTTGACTTGCCCCTCCTTCCCCTACCCCCTCTAATTGCTGCATCATTGTCTAACAATGTTCCTGTGGCCTTACCCTTGACCCCCCTGTAGATGTCCTACCTCCAAAAGTCTGAATAAACCCCACCCAGCAGTGGAAAGCCTGTTTCCTTTCCGGCTCACTGGAGGCACCTGCCATGCACCCATTGATAAAGATGCCTGATAAAGATAATGGTTCTCAGGGTGAGGAGGAGCATGTCCCCCCTGGGTGGGAAGGGAGCAAATCAGAAGGCTTCAGCAGGGCTTTTATCAAACCCAGGAGCAAGAAGATACACACAGATTCTGATGTGCTCTCCCCCCACCCCGGGGGATGTTTTCCTCACCACCACATTGAGAATCAGTGCCCAGAGCCTTGTTGTCCGTTTCAGCTGTCTCCTTTAGTCCAGTATCCCTGAATTGTAGCACAAAGAGCTGTAGAAGGAGTGATATATGAACTCAGGCCCAGGGAATGATCAGTGAGTGAGGGACAAAAGATTTGCTTCCATGTCCCACCAAAGGGACAGGGCCATTTAACAGTGACTAAGAGCCAACCTCACGAGTCTTACAGTCAGTCCTGAATTTGAATCCTGACTCTGCCACTTCCCAGTTGTGTGCCCTTGAGAAAATTACTTAAGCCTCAGTTTCCTTATCTTAAAAAGGGGGGATGATACAACACTGTATGTTAACTATATTGGAATTAAATTTTTTCTAAAAGGGGGGGTGGATCATAGTACCTATTTCAAAGTATTAAGTGAGAATTAGATGAGCTGTGCATGCAAAGTACATAACACCTGGCCTGGCAGATAGGAAGTGCTCAGTACACATCAGCTACTATCAGCTGTTGCTCTTGATGTCCTGCTTCTACTGAGGTAAGAGTTTTCTCTGTTTGAAGAAATGCTAGCCACAGGTTTCTATGCTTCCTTCACTGCTATTGAGCTCAGCCAATAATTGGAGGCCGTTCCACATATGGACAGATTGGTTTGGCAAGCTGAGGCAGAACTCTTCCTTGGGCTGGTTCCTTCATTCTCCATTCCACTTCTTAAGAAGAAACATCAGCCAGAGTCCTAGGCAGGGAGAAGCCCAACTGGCCCCTCTCTGCTGACACAGGTTTCTTTTTCAGCATCAAATGGGCCAGGGCTGGCTCCTTCCAAAACCCAACACTGGGAGGGAGGACACAGTGCTTTTGCCAGGAAGCACCGTTTCTGTTTAGAGCTACCGAAGGAAACTAACAAGTTGTTTTGAATTGAATCCCAAATCAGTTCAGGGCAAAGTACTTAAAAAAGTCTTCAGGGAAATGGAAAATATGTTTGTTCTGTGGTGTCATTTTAAGTTTTTGTTTTTAAAATTCATTTAAATTCATTTAAAATTCATTTAAAAATTTCATAGGCTTATATTACATACTTAAGTCTTTAAAGAAATCAGAGAAATCCTTTATAGTTCACCCTCTCTTTTCTCTCTAGGTATTTAGTCTTCCTACAGATCAAAAGGGATCTCTACCATGGCCGTCTCCTCTGTAAAACATCAGATGCTGCCTTGTTAGCAGCTTATATCCTTCAAGGTAATGACTTTTGACAGGATGAATGAACTTGCTTTCATGCTAAGTACTGATTATATTATTTCAGTCACCACAGATGACTACTTCTTGTATATAAACAGTATCTAACTTGAAGCAGAGTCTAGGTTGGAGAGCTTCTTTGCCTAGCCTCCTTAGTCCCAGAAAGCTCTGACCACTCAACCTTAAACTGTGCCTAAGGTCTTCCTGCAGGCTTCTTTAGGTCATCATGACTCTATTTGGGATTTCCTCCACCCTTGGTTGATAGAGTTACTGGGACTCTGGAGAGTCATCTGAATCAATTTTTCTAAGACTTTACATGCAAATCTCAAAGGTGTGAAGTATCTTGGAATTCTGGTTTCTCAGAGACCTTTCCATTCAGAGTGTTCAAAGTTGAAATGTACAAGTAACAGATATATTTCCTAACATGCTAATAATGTAGAGTTGAGTCTGTATCCAGCAGATTCCCAGACTGGCTTTTTTTTTTTTTTTTTTTTTTTTTTTTTTGCAAAATATTGGGAAAGGTATGCACTCTTCATCTGTGTGATGCCTTCTCCTTCCATGAAGTACAGGGGCTTCTGAGTGCCACTTCTAAGGCTTCCCTTAGTCCTTAGGCCTGAACTGTCCCCAGATTGTTCAGGACTACACTAAAATCATGAAGTTTCTTTCAAAGAATCTGAACTCTTAATTGGAAATCTGTGAACTCCAGGAAGCTACTTTGTGGAGAGAACCTGGAAAATGCTTGCCAAAAAGAAACTTCAGTTCATCTGTTAAGAGAAATATCATAGCTGTGTTAAGAATGTAAAAGTCAGGGGTACTTGGGTGGCTCAGTCAGTTAAGCGTCCAACTTCGGTGTAGGTCATGATCTCATGGTTCGTGAGTTCAAGCCCTTTATGGG